AATTTTCAGTCGACAGGAAAGTTTTCGGGAAAATTATAAATGCGAACAATAGCAGTAATAGTAGCATGCTTTTAAACTAATAACTTATTAATTGGGTACGGCCATAGATACGGTGTACAGATTCTATTGTAATAAACTGTGATATGTTGTATACAAGTTAAATCTAAGTTTAATTACTTCAAGTATCATGTAATACAATGGACTTATCCTCAAATCTACAAAACTTTGAGTATTTTATACTTTAAATTTTCAATCACAGAAAATTTAATTTTATAAATAAATAAAAAAAAATTTAACTTCAATAAACAAAGCATTTTTTCAAGGTAATCAAATGATAATTTACTATTTATTTTTCTAGTATTCTGATTTACCTAATTTTAGTAAAAAATTTGATTAATTTTACAGTCAATTATATTTTATTATTTTAATCCACGCGTAATTTTAGTTTTGGTGAAATGTGTAGTTTTTGTATTGCAAATAGATAATAATTTATATGGCTTCTTAAATTACCTTTAAGAATGAAGACTACGTAGAATTTTACTAAAAATAGATTTATTCTGTTTTCGATTGTTACGGCATAGTATATTTAAAAACTAAAGGTAGCGAGGCAAAAGTATTTTAAGCCTCTAAGCATTATATAAAAATGTTCATTCAATAGATGCAATTATGCAATTATTCAATAGATGAACTACAATTTGTAACAGATACTTGTGGCAAATTAGCGTAGAACTTTAAAAAAGTTGAAAAAAATTTAAATTTTGGTAGAATCTTTTAGACATTCACAAATTGTTTGAACTGTTGTAACATTTGGTATTATCTGGCATATTTTGAAATAATTTTATTTTTTTACATAAATCATCTTCAGATATATAAAATTTAATTTTTCTTACAACATTACATCAAATTATATATTATTTATATAACATGTATATGATATATTTTCACCAGTCTTCAAGCTCACCATATTTCCAATAGAATTGATGATACATAATGACACCTTGTTAAACTTAGAATTAATGTCATTCATCATTTTACCTAATGTTGTGTAAAATGTTGTCATCTTTATTTCATCTGATTTTATTTGAATAAAAATTTGATTTTGTGATGTATCGATTTTTTATAACACTTTTCTTATTTTTACATCTGGAGCGTGTATGCGTATTCCATACTCACATTTCTACACATGTTTGGTAAATAGTTTCAAAATATTCAGGATTATATCTCGTTGAAATAAGCTAAGGTTCTAATGAAGTACATCAACGGCAGTCAACTCTGCTCAAGTCTGCTTTAAGTTTTTTGCTTGCAACGGTTTGCTAACTTTTAGAACTATTTACAAAATTGGTTACATCAAAACAAATTCAAGAATAAATTCAAATTAATTAATTTGATCCAAAGCTCAAAAATTAAAATCTACAATCCAAAAGCAAAAAGCTTCCATTTTTTGAAAATTGAATTTTTTACCATTTATTCGATAGCAGTTAAAACAACATATATATGTATGGTATGTATAACAATACGTAACCTTTTGAATCAGTTAAACACAGGTGTAAATCGTGTAATGATAACCGATGAAAAAATGTGAAGATTGAAATGTCAGGTGCAGTCGAAAGACATTCTATGCAGCTAACTATGATGTAACTAACTAAGCATTAGGGATGAGCTTTTGTCTCAGCTGTTCGTTGTCTATTACAAATCATGTCGCAAGTACGCGACGCTTTTAAATGTAATTTTAATGAAAAATTGGACGTGAAAGCTACTTAAGATTCGACGTTATAATATGACAATTACAGTTAAGATAAACAAGTGTATTATAAAAGTTTAAATTAAACCAGTGTTATAATTATAATAATAAAAGTCAAAATCGACGGCAACGATTGTTTGTACGTCTTTAGTAAACACACTCCGTAAAAAACTTTACTATAAAACAACGAGATAATATATTTGAAATACGAATACATTTCACGGTTACTCGTGAACGATGTTATGAACGATTAGAGCGTCGGTGATTCAATTCGATGTACTTTGTGTTCATATTACGGTTGAATCGTAATCATGTTTGTAATACAACAACGTTTCGAATGAAGAAAAAATAAGCGAATAATGTAGTGGTTTTCTTTTGCTTCTCTTCCGTATAAATACTTAATGATTGTTGAAAATCGTATACAATCAGGGGTGGGGGGGGGATCGGGCCGTAAGAACGACAGCGATTGGACGAGAAAATAATAATAGGATAGGAGAAGAAAAGAAAAAGAAAACGGTTGTATCGGAACTGATAAATTAAAAACGAGAGCCGCCGACAACGGTGTGTGTGGCGTTCAACGTAAAACAAAAGCGAAAAAATCGTGGCCGGACGATACGGCAATGAAAATTCGTACACATGGTCACGTCCGGACGAAAAACACGACGCGCAGAATATTAAAACGCAGAAGAATACGTTATTATCGATCAGGCCTCGCCCGGTGGCGCCAAAAACGACGGTCGGGCTCGTTGTGCTCACTACACGTTTTTCTTTTTATCATTATTCGATTAGACGTATTTCAGCGTTATTATTATTTTTCTACCCTCGCTAGAGTGGCGGTGGTGCGGGGGGGGGGGGTTAGTCGAACGGTTCGAACCGACTCGCGTACAACAGCGTACCGAGATCGAATTGAATAATAATAATTATAATAATACGTACACACAAACACGCACGCACACGCGTGCACGGACTTACGTGTATGTGTATATCTGTTAATCCAAAGAGGCGACATGCTATTGAAATGGTATCTCAATAGACGACGAACGTGGTTTAAAGAGCTATTGAAGACAAACCGGTATTTTTCAATGAACGTTCCCTTGCTCGTGACAAGAGGTTAACACCGCGCAATCGTGTTATTCCCATCGCACGCGGAGAACGAATCGCGCGGTGCACGGAGCAGCAGCGTATTTTCCGAACGTTCAAACGGGCGCGCGCGTTTCGCCGTGAAACGAATAATAATTATTCCTAATCCAATTATCGCGATTGTAGTTGCTTCGTTTCTTTTTTCTTTCTTAATTTGTTCTTGGCTTATCGCAGTGGTTCTCAACCGTAGTGATAACGTGGATCCAGTGTAGGGATGACACGAAATCTCCACGGGAGAAGGAAAAAAAAATAAGAAAATAATTAATGTTAATAAAACCATATTATAGCCCAAATTTTCATGCAAGTAGTATACCTTTGAGTTTGTATTATTCATATTTATTCTTTAGATCCGATAAACACGTTCAGTTTTTTGATTTGCGAAATTGCCGCATTATCGATTATTCTATCGACTTGACCGGAATCGTTAGTCAGTTATTTTGCAGTCGCTATTTAGTATTATAGTCCTACAACTGTAGCAGACAACATGTGACTAGATTTTTCCGCCGTTAACACTTGATTTTCTCAACTTTGTAAAAACCACCAGGATTAAATTACTTAAATTAGTTTTTATACAAATCACTATTATTTTTTCTCTCTAAATTTAAACTTTTAAGTGTCAATGTTTATTGAACCCTGCAACTCAAATAAATTATAGGTGTACTCATTATTTTTCTGTGTACAGTTTTTTTTTTTTCTTATATCAAGAATAATTCTAAAATTATCTAGTTAAAATTGTTATTATTTTCATGTTAAAGCGGCGTGCTGTTTGATTCTAATGACTGAAGGCAACATGAACGAAAAAAGGATGATAAACTGGCTTATTGCATTTATTTTTTGCTCTTATCGTCGACAGTTGTGTTTTTAATGTTCAACTCGGTGCACCAAAACCGGTAACATTTCTTTAAGCCGATGTTGCGTACGCAGTAAACAATGCAATATCGATCAGTGACAAAGCGGACCAAGTTAACGTAAAAGACAATTCTTTAAACCGAATGTCGAACAACACGTAAAAAAATGATAAATTTATTTTTGTTAAATTTAAAGTTATCACGATGAAAACAGTGAACTTGACAGCATCAGAAATAATAATCCGTGGTTTATGTTAAAATTAATTGTGATGTATTTACAATTATTTTTTTTTTTTATATAATTTCTCAGACATTTATGATAATGCGCGCTGTTGCGAATAATATTAATTATAATATGAAATACGTTTTCAATTTTAACTCCATTGATGGTTTTCATAGGTTATATATTTACCAGAAATAGTCAAGTTCTTTAAATGCTTGTTAAGATTACTTAATGTATGAAGTTAATTCGTAAATTCACAAACTGTTTAAATGTTAAAATTCTGTCGCAGAAAATGTTGTTATTAACTTAACGATATCTGTTTTGCCAAGTAAAAAGGCTCGAAGTCGTATAATTTATCTATCACTCATCTATCACGTATAGAGATGTTATCTATAGTTCTAAAATAAAAACCATCAACAAAAAACAATACTCTCTTTCGTGTTGCTCTTACACGAGTATAAACGTTACTCTGTGTACAACAATGGAAAATAAGTATAGGGAATTCAAAATTATATCATATACCTTGATTAATGGTCTTGAATAAGATAATTTATTGATAGTATGAAATGTTTGCGTTGCCCAAATGCTTATAATATTCAAATAACACGGTATAAAACAGATATGTCACGTATGTAAAATTGATACTCTAAATCTAAAAATTCTATAATTTGTGTTTTGTCACTTTGTGATGTAGGTATCAATTTAAGCGACGTTATAGTAGCATTTATTGTAAAATACGAGTATGTTTATTATCTACACAATTGTTTTTACCATTATTGCAACATAAACTATGTATTCCACCTTTGTGGAAAAAAGTGTTATATAAAAGAACAAAGTCGTTGCGGTTTAGCTGAAGCATAGAACCTACATACGCCAACGGTAAATCGTAGATATTTTAATGCGACTCGCCTTAAAATCATAACACACACATACACACACACGCACACACACACGCACACACACACGTAAAAGTTCATGAAAACCGTTGAAAAGTATCTAAACTTTAGATACATAAAAATTTAGAGTGTACATAATTTGGAAACTTTACCTGACATACAGCTATTAGGACTGAACGCCGGATTCTTTTGGAGTTGTGAAAATCCTAAAAAATAAATAACAAAACACCGATTAGTTATTTATATATATCGTTCTGTAATCAATAAAATATATTTTAAATTTGTTGTAAATATTAAAATGACACTATTTTAATTCATATTTTAATACTACAGACGGTAAATCACAAATGTCAGCACAATTGTGATGCAAAGTACGTATATATTTATATTGGACTATGGTGGTGATAGGTATATGACCTAATTTTACGGGACTGAATTCGAATGAGCGAGTTACTTAAAATATAATGGAATTATTAATGCGTGTAGCTGAATAAATTACGTTTTGTCTTAACTTCTCAATACGTACTGAAAACCTTTGAATTTCGAATATATCATCATTATTATAATATGAAAACGATAAAATTAATTGAGTTAATTTATTTTTACGTGACTCGTCGTTTTAACGTTTGAACTTAAACGTATTAGCTCGTTAACATCCAGCCTGAATGTGAATTATTTGCTGAAGAGCATGAAGTGTGTTTCTCATCCGTGCATTTGTTTTCGACTAATCGATTTAATTGTTATCACTTTGCGCGCTCGATTATTGCTATATAACAATGCTGTACAGGGCAAAAACACTGGTAACACCGGTATTAGGCTCGAGCCTATTATAAAACGTACGGATCAGACGCGGATTCGAAAAAGCGAGTATAAAAGTACCTCTACAAGGATGTAAAACTATATGTATACGATTACGTACAACTGTTTTATACGGTATAATATGTATGCACCTATTCGTATTGGAATAAAAGTCTCGTTGACTTATTATCTTTGAATTTCCCATGGTATCTCTTTGCCGAATCGATCGTGTACATTTATACGCGTAAAAAAAAAATATTTCTTTGTATTCCTTTTATTCGTGAATTTCTGTGCAAACCGCCGTATACGCGCGCACCCGTATCGAGTTACGGCAGTATGTGTGCCAGTATGTTTTGATTCGCAAAGGTCTCCGCGTGGTAATCCGACCTGACAGTTATCGTATTTCTTTGGTTCGCACATATAATTATTTATATATATATATATATATATTTACATTCCATTATTAAACACAAATCGTTTGCCGTGATACACTCAATATCCTATATCCGGAGGAGGTATTATAAAACCTTCAATAAGATATTTCCCTCCATCTCCCCCATCCTTTCTCTCTCACCCTCACACTCTTTCTCTCTCTGGAGGGGCAAAAATAGGCGTTTTGTTTTCAAAGACTTGTGCAATAAATGTTATCGAAAAGAACAAATTCAATGCTATATGTGCTCGGCGGTTAGACATTATTTTAAGATGCGTGCATATCGAATTATTTTTATACCCAACATTATTCATTTCTTTTGAAATGATAAATCGGTAGAGGAAAAAAAAGAGCGAAACCGTGGTTTTTACAATAAAACGGGATATATACCTACCCATTAAATCGTTCGGTTTCTTTTGGGACCACATTGAATTTTTTTTTTTTCATAAACAAATCGTTCCAATCGGTATTATGTTCATCATCTTTTAGAAAGTAATTAATTGTATTCTAAATGTTTAAAGTTCAATTGATGTAAAAAAAAAAAAAATAGAAGCATTTAAATGACTCGCCAACCCAAACTCGCCATTCAGACTGTATAACAAAATACCCGTCAAGAAATAATAAATAAATAATATTAAATCTTTAAAAAAATTCATGTTTTATAATATCATACGTTTAATACCTTGTCCGGGCGGAAAAGATTCGAAACGTTAGTCATAATCTAGGATAACATTAGTGGTTGACAATAAATTTCCTTTTTTTTTTATAGCCAATGAGTACACAGATTAGTGTACACCGCGGTTGGACGATGGGGTAGGTTTATTCAATACTGCATGTTCCACCATGAACCAGCTATAACTATACGATGTAATAGTGTACATAATATAATATATTATATATTTGAGCGAGCCGTTTCACATCTATTCTGGGCATGATTCGCAGAGCACCCTGTCACATTTGATTGTTTTTCCCTAATGCATCCGAAATTATTGTCTCACCGCTATGTCGTTTAGCACATGCTGAGCGTTTTGATCCGTCTTAAGTGCTGTCCGAACCCGATAGATATACGTGCTCGTGTATCCAACAAATACCGGATACTTGACCTAACCTATATTTGATCGCTTCTCCGGTATGAATAATAATTAGTTAATCAACGACAACAAAACCTATGTTCTCGTATTTCGTACTCGTGAAGAATCGGTGAAATGCTTAGAATATCAGGAAAGAAAATTATAAAAACATCGAATAGCAAACTTGAAAACGTAAATGTGGGGGGGGACTACTGTATGCATACCGATTACTGGTGTTGATAGGGCTAGAGGATCATCTCGAAATATATTTGGCTGTTATTACAGATATTCAAGAGAACTTGTATAAATTATGTGAGTACTTAAGTAAATGATAAATGAGATAATACATATTGATTTCATGTTTTTTTTTTTTTATTAACTGAATAAAAAGTATAGGTACAGAAAATGGTTTTCTGAAACATAAGTATACAAGCACAGAAATAGTTCTTTGCGAGCAAAATTTTATCGACTTAAAAAAGTACAACACTGTCAACAAAAGAAAACGAAGTAATTCTCCGGGAGGCTGTAATAGTATTGCTGGAAGCGAAGGTTATCAGATGTGTTATTGTAAAACAAAATGTAAACATTCGATGAGCTTGTGGAACAGCAACAAAATTATGTAACTCGAAAAATCGTAATAGCTTAGTGTGAAATAGCCCTGTGAAAATCAATATAATTATAAACTGTATTGATTTTTAACTTATAATAAATACAATAAATAAAATATTGTCAACTTTGATTATTAATCTTGGCCAGTAATGTCTAGATAGTGTCAACATTGCCTAATTAAATCAGCCATTATCACTAATGAATAGTCGTTTCCGGTAATGACTGATTGCCGACATTGACATACTCGTATATGAAGCAGTGGTTGCAAAAACGGGGTTGAATTTTTTTAAGTGCGTATACTTGTATGTGTTGAATATAGGTAAGTTTTAAATGTGGTATCGTAATGCATCGTGGTCGTTCTACGCCATTCATGGTAGGTAGCCGACCATGTTACCATATGCAAATATACATAAACCAACACCTAATTGTACGTGAAAATGTAGAATATGGGCGAACAGTCTAAATACGGGTTAAAACTTTTTTTACACAGCCATAAAGTATTCACAAGAAATTTAAAAAAAAAAACATACATATGCGAGTATATATATATATATATATATACATGTACGTACAGATTATGTATATAGTAATATCACACAAATATTAAAAATAGAAAATATTTAAAAAAAAATCTCGGGTTCGCGTTTGCAGTCGAATAAGTGTTTATTCGGAATATTTTTGACATGGTAGTCACTCGCCAAGTTTTTAATCTTTCGCAGAAGAGTTGCGTTTAATTTATCAAGTACTGACTTAACTGTAATATAATTAGTTTAGTTTTGCTGTGGCTATTATTAGTACACAGATGACGCATGTTTGTCAAAACCCATGGATAACGAGCTGACATAAACGAATTTAAATGGTGAGTAACGATTATTCTAATAACTAAGACATAAAAAAGTTAATATTACTAATTTTTACGAAAAAACCTCACATTTAAAGGTGCAATAGTGTGAACTTTATTAATATAAAATCAATATAAAATGAAATATAAGAATTATTATTGAATCTTATAAATTATAATATTATTAACCTACAATTTGCCTATATTTTAATAGATATTCAAATAATATAAGTAAAATACATAATTATTGTACATTTTTCAAACGCATATTTATAACTTGATTTAATTTGTTATTGTTAATTTTTTCGAGAATTTAATTTTACGAACATTTCAAAGTTATAATTTAAATTACTCCAGTAACACAAAATTTTGATAATGAATATTGCTAAAAAATGACCGGGCTAGTAAAGTTGAATAAATAATTTTTCATTGAGAATACAAAAAAAAATCTATTTTATTTTATTTAGAATCACCGTAAAAATATTGCCTCCCCTTCAATTTTTTAGAGGGGATATTGTCTCCCCGAACCACACCTTAAATACGGCTTTTGTGAATAAACGAATTAAATAAATTGTCCGTTATCAATAACAATATCATTTATGATTTTTTTTTTCTTTTTTATGAAATTTTTGATAATAAGATTTTACAATATTATAATATTACATTTGTTTCATCGATAGCAATGCACGACACTAATCTAGGTTGATAATTTGTTATGAATACGGAATATACCAATAAAGCTGGAATTTCAAACTATCTACGAATAATTTGAGGTAAACACGATTATGCGGAATAATGAATAACGAATAAATTGTATTCGAATAATTAATCGAATACATTTTTATCAGACTAATGCACGTTTGCCAGTGTAAATATAAACCGCAGTTACGGTTGTCCAGTTATGTCCAGGTCGATAGGGCGTAGTGCAACAAACTATAAGATCGCCATAAGTTCGAGTTGACGCATCTTTTCGGTTTTTATCTTTTTACATTGTTTTCGGTAAAATTAAGTCGACTACAGTTGAACGGTCATTCGAATCTCAATCGTGGTAGACTTCACCGTGAGCATGCCGCGCGTATCACAACGCCATACACCGGGTAGCATGAATACGGATATTTACGTGCGTGCACACACTGTATACACCGCTGTTGATACGTAGTATATAAGTTCGAGTGAAGTACAAATCTTTACCACGAACGAGTGTTAGTCCTTAAAAAGATAAACCAGCCTAAAACGTACACATATATTAATAATAATAATAATAATAATAATCGTATTTCGATTTTTCGTTTGTTAAATCGAATTTCCGTGCACTCCACGGCGGTGGTAATACCACCGCCGCCGTTTAAGCACGTTACACCTACCTAAACATTTTTGCACGCACGCACACATTTCTGGTGACAAAATCACAAAACGACCGTGACGGCGGCGCCGACGGTGAAGTCAGTGGCGGCGGCG